ACGCCAGACAGACTCAAGGAGGCGATTGGCATCTCACAACTCGTACTTTATTCCCAAATCGAGCTTGTGTACTTGTTACTTAAAAACAAAATAATATAAAAATTAGCATCAAACAGGAATTACCAGGCTGTTCGCATAGACATAAAAAGGGGTGTTCAAGGCACACGGCACATACAATACAATACTGCCGACAGTTCAACAAGGAGCGCACAGCTCTTAAAGGGGTCACACCTTATTTTTTTTATAGGTCATTTTTCTGGACAGTTTTCAAAACCCCGCCCCCCTCATTTGCATTCTGGCTCAGAGCCACAAACCCTGAGGTTCAGATGAATGGCTTGGGTTGGACCAGACCTCATTAGTAAATCAATTCAAAGAGCATCTGCTAAATGAATCAAATGTAAATGTTAAAGACCTGATGAAGCAGCCGAGATGAGAGCTATTCCTGTAAACACAGGGGAATGAAAGTCAGACTACGGCGGTTTAATATATGGATGATATTTTAAGACAGAGAAAAATAGAGAGAGAGGAGAAGGTTTTCTTGCCCAGTCTGTGGGCGCAAAGCAAAGGCAGAGAAACGAACATAAAACTGGAATCTGCTGTGTGTGTGTGTGTGTGTGTGTGTGTTTCAAGGAAGGTAGGTGACCTAAAGATGAGTCAGAAAGAGTCTCTCCTCTTTAAACATCACTGTGACGTTCTTCTGTGAAACACAAAGGAGAGATGCAGAGAGAACAGTGCAAAGAAAATATAGTTAGGAAGAGTGTTGAATGCTTCTGTGTTTATGCGATTTAAAGGGATACTTCAGGATTTAATCTTTTTATTAGTAGGAAACCTGTAGTTTTTTCAAATTACCATGCTTTCCACCCTTATATCCCCCTGAGATGAAAGATTTATTTTTTTGTCTGGAAAAGAATCCTCAGATGATGCAAAATGCCGATTTTTGCGTCATCGGAGGATGTTTTGTCCGGAGGCTAAAGACTACAGTCAGTCCCGCATGTCCTCAACCCGCCCATAGAGGGCGATCTCACTCACAGAATCAACACATATGCTGCGTCCCAATTCGCTTACTTATACTACGCCCTAAAAGTATGTACTCTTTTTGTGAGGAAAAAGTACATACTTTTGAGTGTGTAGCAAAAGAGTAGGCAAGCTTTTGGGACGTACTATCACGTCATCTTTAACGGACGGCTCTGTCGCGTAAACTGCCCTGTCAATCATCTCGTCAGTTAAAATCCTTTAGAATTCCACTGGAGGTGATCACGGGCGAGAGCAGAATGAATGGGAGTCTATGGGGCTAAACGGCTAAATGTGTCTCTTTCACCTGCTTGTCGTTAAATCAACATAGATTTTATTGTTGATCCCGCAAGTTCAATATAGATTACAGGCCAAAAGTCGAATGAACGAGTACTTATGTCCTTTCGATGTCTTACAGGTTAGGCCGTTATTACGCTAGCATTCTGCTATTGTGTGACGTCATCACATTTTTTAACAGATAAGTGAACTTAAAAAATGCAATTTTCAGCTGAGTGTATTATCTTATTATCTGCAACTTTCAAATGACTTGACAAAAAATTACATCCTGAGAAAAGTGGATTTCTGGGGGTGAAACCCCATTGACTCCCATTCATTCTGCACTCGACCGCGAGCGCCCCCGCATGGACAGGGACGTGTTACTGCAGCCAGTCCAGAAACCGGAAGTAACCGGCCAGTACCAATTCTCTTCAATTAGACATTCCCTGGTGTCAGCCATCTTGTTTGGAAGCTAAGCTAGCAGGCTCTTGTCAAAGTGACATCGCCACCTACTGACCTGGAAGCAGAAGACAGCGCTTTTAGTAGTTTTCGGAGATCCGTGTGAACGGGGATCTTTTTGACAACGCTGCCAAAAAAAACGCAGGACAAACTTTTCCGTTTTTTTAGTACATCGTTGTGGTGCGTCTTACGTCAGCAAGACAATACAACAAGATCACAGATCAGTTAGGAGGGAGATACATGGAATAATGCCTAGATCATACTTCATACAATATCTAAAAAAAAAAATCATATATATACTATATGTGTGTTTATATAGGCCATACACACAGATGCATATCATACCGGAAAGTTTGGAAACATTACTATTTTTTATGCTCACCAAGGCTGCATTTCTTTGATCAAAAATACAGAAAAAAGTAATATTGTGATATATTATTACAATTTTAATTATTAGTTTTCTATTTTCTAATATACTTTTAAATATATTTTTTTTCTGTGATGCAAAGCTGAACTTTCAACATCGTTACTCCAGTCTTCAGTCACATGATCCTTCAGGTATAATTTTATAAAATATAAAAAAGTACACTGTAAAAAAAAAATATTGAAGGTTTAACTTAAAAAGTAAGTAACCTGGTTGCCTTAAAATTTTAAGTTCATTGAACTGGAAAAGGTGAGTTAATAAAATGAAGTAGATTAATTTAACCATCAGAAACTCAAAATAATAAGTTATCTCAACTAAATAAATTATTATAAAGTTGATTTGACTAAAGAAAATATGTTGCGATAACAAATCTTGAAAATATTTTTTACAGTGTGAATAAAGTCGGATTTTTTCTTATTTTTGGACCAGAATGTGTTTTCGATGCTTCAAAACATTGTAACCCACTCATGTCACATGACTACTTTGATGATGTCTTTATTAACTTTCTGGACAAGGACAGTACACCGTACACACATTTCCAATGAAGCTCTCGGACTAAATCTAAAATATCTTAAACTGTGTCCTGAAGATGAACGGAGAGTCGTTAATGATTTTGGGGTGAACTAACCCTTTAATTCAGGGGTCAGTTTTAACTAATAGCTGAAATATCACACACACACACACACACACACACACACACGCAATGATGGAGGAACTGAAGTTTTCATCTCTCATCACACAGAGGAAAATGCCTCATATTAAAGAGACAAGATCATTTCATCATTTTTGATGGCATCTAATATTTATTGGGTGTGTTTGGGTGGAGAGCGAGCGAGTCTTTCTCCAGAGGCAGACAAATAGATGGAAACCAGGAAAGATGAGTAGAAACGAAGTGTCATCAAGAACAATAAAGAGAAGGCGATGTCATTTAGAAAGAGAGCGAGAGTAGAATATCATAACGGAAGAACTTCTCATGTGGATTATTTTTTTAATACTAGTGTCTTTATAATACGATTTACGTGTTAATGAAACCAGTCGCTCATGGCTATAATACACCTACTGTCTGAAATTATACATTACTAGAGATAGAAACTCTAAACCACATTTAGATATTTTAATAATAAATGAGAGACTGCGTGGAACAGAGAGACTTAAATTAAAAGAGGGAAAACGTTGAGTATACTCATAATGAAAAAGTGAACGCAATTTATATTGTGCATAAAGAAAATGAAACCTATTTTTAGGGGCATTAATCGTAATTGTATAAGTGTATTTACCCCAACTTTTGCAGTTCTTTAATATTTTTTGTAATCTTAAATCTTTTTTTTTTTTTTTTGAGTAATTTCGTTTGTTGAATTAAACAAATGGCACGAAAAAAGATTTGTTATATGTGAAAAACACAACGATATTTCATTTAAATGGTAATGATTTATTGTAATGTATACTTTTCTAATGAGAATTACAAAAAGTAAAGGCGTTACAGTGAGAATTTGGTGTTTAATTGTCATGAATGCAGTACTGTTGCAGATTTGTTTGCGGACGCTGTGTAAAAATGCAATTGTGTCCACTCCATGAGTTCAGCTTTAAACACAACACAGATGCATTATTGAACAGAGCCCGCGCTCGTCTGTTCTGCAGTCTGAAGCACCGGATGATTCATCGTCTTCATTCTGCAGTCGTTCGGCTCATGAAAAACAGGTGCAGATGGAATAACAATGTTTCAAGACCGCACAAATCTTGCTGAATCTCACACGAGTCTCCTCTAGAGTTTCAGGCGAGGTCAAAACTGCTCGGGTTTACAGAGAGCTCAACACGAGTCTCTCTGTCTGCGCATCTCCATTTCATAAAATCATAGACTTTTAATTATTTAAAGTGCATCGTTCTTAGAAAAAAAAAAGGTGAAATGGGCTTCTATGTTGAACTCTATGGGTTCTTGACTCATTGTTAAAGAACATGCCATAAATGATTGCATTAAAGGAGTAGTTCACTTTTAAATTAAAACTTTTGCTGATAATTTACTCACCCCCATGTCATCCAAGATGTCCATGTCTTTCTTTCTTCAGTCGAAAAGATATTAAGGTTTTTTAATGAAAATATTCCAGGATTTTCTCCATATAATGGACACTGTAAAAATGAATATGCTTTATCTAATCAATAAAATTGTGGCAACAGATTACAAGCAATATTATTTATTAAAATGAACAAATTAGAATTGAGTAATAGTTAATAAAAGTAATATTCTAATTAATTCTAATTTGTACAATTTAATTAATAATATTGCTTGTAATATGTTGCCACAATTTTATTGATTAGATAAAGCATATTATTTTTTTCAGTGGACTTCAATGGGGTCCAAACGGTTCAAGGTCCAAAAGACAGTTTCAGTGCAGCTTCAAAGGGCTTTAAACGACACCAGACGATGAATAAGGGTCTTATCTAGCGAATCGATCGCCATTTCAAAAATAAATAAAGTTTAAGTTTTATAAGCACAAATTCTCGCCTTGCTCTGTTCTGTGATGCACATTCGTGACTCTCCAGTTCGAACTCAAAACGAATGAATCTTTTTCCAAGCCATTTCGTTCGTTGAATTAACGAAATGGCTCAAAAAAAAGTTAATTTGATTGTTAATGCATTAACTAATGGGAATGTAGAGTGTTACCCAAAATATTTGAACTTTGTATGGTTTTGTCTTCAGGAAAATAAATATATATTTTTTTTTTTATTTTTTTTTTTTAGTTGGTCTAAAGTATACTTTTTTAACCAAATTTGCTGAGAAACCTTGTTGATTTTCCTAAGATGTGAGCAGTGACGTTCCTCTGTGTGTTGACAGGGTTGAGGAGAGCTTCAAGACTCTGTTCTGGTCCATATTCGGGCTGTCCGAGGTGATTTCTGTGGTTCTGAAGTATGATCATAAGTTCATCGAGAACATCGGTTACGTGCTGTACGGGGTGTATAACGTCACGATGGTGGTGGTTCTCCTCAACATGCTGATCGCCATGATCAACAGCTCCTACCAGGAGATAGAGGTAAAGTCGGAATAAAACACATCCAAGCCTCCTTAAAGCAAGATAAAAGTCCCTCACAATCAGTTCTGGGTATTACTTAAAATTGTAGTCCGTTACAGATAACATTTTAAAAATGACATGACATTGTTGTTATTTACACATTCTAGGTATTTTTGATTACTTTTTTGACCTAACTCAACTACCATATTGATATAAAATGTGAAAAGAAAGAATGACATGAAGTGGATTAAACATTACTAAACTGCAGGGGTTTGTGAGTTCATATGAGAGTCAAATTAAAGCACTTGAACACTAAAAAAGGTGAAATATTGTATTTGTGGACCTGCATGTGAAGGTGATGACAGAAAACTGTAAACATGCCAATGTGTTGATCAATTAGTAACATTTTAACTGTACAATTAAATTATAGTAAATTAAAGTAAAGTAATTAATTACAGTAATTAAAGTAAAGTAAATATTAATTTAATCTAAATTTAGGCCAAAGGGGTTTGACCAACAAAAAAAAAAAAGGGTGGGGGGGGGATACATTTACTAATAAAGTACTTATTTTTTGTAATCTGATTATGTAATCCAGATTATACTTTACTGGGGCTGTACCTTTTCAAAAGGTAAACTTTTGTCCATTTTAGGTGCTAATATGTACATTTTAGGTGTCAATATGTACATTTTAGGGGCTTATGTGTACATTTTAAGTGTTAATATGTACATTTTAGGTGCTAATATGTACATTTTAAGTGTTAATATGTACATTTTAGGTGTTAATATGTACATTTTAGAAGCTAATATCTACATTTAGATGATAATATGTACATTTAGATGATAATATGTATATTTTAGGTGCTAATATGTACATTTAGGTGCTAATGTGTACATTTTAAGTGTCAATATGTCCATTTTAGGTGCTTATGTGTACAATTTAAGTGTTAATATGTACATTTTAAGTGTCAATATGTACATTTTAGGTGCTAATATGTACATTTTAGGTGTTAATATGTACATTTTAGGTGTTAATATCTACCATTAAGTTACCAATATGCACTCTTTAGGTACATAAGTGTAACTTTTGAAAAGGTACAGCCCCAGTGACAGCTTTTGGACCTATTTTTTCTGAGAGTGTATTTATTATCAGTTGGCAGCCAGCGAGCACAATTATTAAAGTGTTTTACTTGTTAAATATTCTGTTTCACACCGAACTCGGATTATGGAAGCAGAAACCTCACTAAATGATTGGTATGATTTATGTTTTAATCTCTGTCTCTCGGCAGGAAGACGCTGATGTGGAGTGGAAGTTTGCTCGTGCTAAACTCTGGTTGTCGTATTTCGATGAGGGGCGGACGTTGCCTGTCCCGTATAACCTTGTGCCCACACCGAAATCCTTCTACTACCTGATCCTCCGAATCAAGTCCTGCCTTATACGCCTGTGCAAGGGCAAAGGTCATCGGCATAACAGCGAGCTGGAGATGGGCATGCTCAATTCACGGCCGAAGGTAACACACACTAAATTGTGCAATTCAGCGTACTTACATATTTAGTTTTAACGTAACTTATGTTCCTGGTCTTTTATAACATGTAGACGTCTGTAGACCTAATGCAGAATACTGGAGAGAATTAACACTGACATTAGATTGTGTATAGAATATGCATACGGTAAAGTATATAGTGTAATATTCTATATTATAAATATAACATAATTGAAATATGTAATATATAAATAGTCATTTTATTTGTAGAAATAATTGTAAAATTTACTTTACAATTTAATGTAAGATGTATTTCTACAATTATTTTCTACAAATTTAAAGTACATATTATCTATTTAATTTATTTAATTTATATCTATAATATATGACATTATTTTATAAAAAAGATACATTATAAATACAATTGTTTATAATAATGATATATATATATATATATATATATATGGATTATGATGTGTGTGTGTGTGTGTATATATACAGTATATATATCATTATTATAAACAAATATTTACTTTTCTTATAAAAAAATAATATTATATATCATTGATGTAAATAAATAAATATGTAAAAAAAATATGTAAAAATAAATCTGATGCAAGTAAATAATTTAAATAGATAATGTAATTTTAATTTGTAGAAAATAATTGTAGAAATTAGATATATCATAGAATTATCATGTTGCATAGAATTTATTGTTATAAATAAATATATTTAGGACAAAAATTCTATTCAACATAAATTCTACAATTATTCCTACAGTGCTAGAAGCTGCTAAAACTGCTAAAAGATCGTTCAAGACCATTGATATGGTGCATATTATATTATGTTTATGAGCATGACATATAATATTATATAGTAGTATTTTATATATATATATATATATACACACACACACACACACACACATACATACATACATACATACATAACCACATGATAATGCTTTTTTATTTTACAAATTGAAGTAATTAAATACCTTATCAATGTGATGTACTTCATCTCTTTTTAATACTTTCTCCTTTCATTTGGGATGTGCTCATGCACTGCACACCAAAAAAAAATCATGTTTCTCATAACAAAGGAATCAGTCAATGCAAAACGCAATCATGCATTATGAATATGATTGGACACAGCTGATAGAAATGAATGATGCCCATCAGTTGAATATGCTGTTTCATCAGGCTGATCGTCATCGAGCAAATGTCAGGAGCCGTGAGGAGAACACCTTAAAGAAACCCATCAAAAACCCCACAAGATATCAGGTGAGGAACACAACTAACACGAGGAACCGACGAGAGTTCACTATGATCCTGATCTTCTCCCTCATGTCTGTCTAACAGAAGATAATGAAGCGTTTGATTAAGCGATATGTTCTGAAGGCTCAGGTCGACAGAGAGAATGATGAAGTTAATGAAGGTAAAACCCAGTAAATTCTCTGTATTTCATATTCTCTGTCTTGTTGATGACTTGTACTTTCTTTAGAAAAAGTCAAAATCTACCATGTTTTTTTATTTATTTATTTATTTATTATTATTATTTTTTTTATTATTGATTTTCTGTTTCGTTTTGGGAAAAAATGATGATGTAGGACAAGGACAAATATGTTGTATAATATGACCAAAAGTATATTTTATGTCTTGCAACGTCAAAAAAAAAAGAAAAAAAAAAAAAAAGAAAAAGTTAAAATCTGCTTATATACAAGTAACCATCTCTGTCTGTGTGTGTGTGTGTGTGTGTGACAGGTGAACTGAAGGAAATAAAACAGGACATCTCCAGTCTGCGCTACGAGCTTCTGGAAGAGAAATCTCAGACCACTGGAGAACTGGCTGACCTCATTCAACAACTCAGTGACAAGTTCGGCAGGAACGCCAAGAAACAACCCTGAGACAGACAGACGGGGAGAGAGAGAGACTGTTTACGTGACAAAAAGTCACGTAAGTAGTTTAGGAAAAGACTCTGGACACTTGAAACACTTAAAAATGTCTGAATGTCATTCATCATCAGTGACAGAATATCAAATCAGGTGTCAATTAACGTACAGAAACACACTTCACAAGCAACACAGCTTATTTTAAAATGCTCAAACTGTAGATCCAGTGTAAAATAATGAAGTGTTTTGTTGATGTTGATTATTTTTTAGACCACTTCAAAATTTCAAACTTTAAATTTTAACACATCTTCACAGATGCCGCCGAAATGCTGAATCGATTCATTCAATTCTAACAGCGCTTGATGCGAGCAGCAACACACACACATACACACAGAAGGCACAGCAGTGTGTTATTACACTGTAAAAAATATTGATGGTTTAACTTAAAAAAGTAAGTAAAATTTTAAGTTGATTGAACTGGAAAAAGTGAGTTAATACAATGAATCATCAGAAACTCAAAATAATAAGTTATCTCAACTAAATAAATTATTATAAAGTTGATTTTACAAAAGAAAATATGTTGTGATAACAAATCTTGAAAATATTTTTTTTACAGTGTAATAAGCAGAATAAGTCGCTGGATTCACCCTTGTTTCTGACCACACTAAATTATTATTATATTATATATATATAATATATATATATATATATATATATTAATATTATATTATTATTTATTTATTTTGATTACTTTCGTGTGACTGATAAAGTTCGTATGTGTAGTTTGGGTTAACAAAAGATTTTATAGGCTTGACTGAGATAATAAAAGCAAAAAACTGACACTTAAAATCAACATTTTAAACAAAAAAACATCTATGTTGACAAAAAGTAGTCATTGATAAGATCTAAATAAGTATTAAATGAAATTTAGAATTTATTTAAATCAAAAACGTAATAAAAGTAATTATGACTGAGAATGTGGCTTTAAGTACTATGTACTTACATTGAAAAAAAAGTACAATGTACTTATTGTGCTCATGTTGTATTGTAAAACACTTTTGCTGCTACTGAGGTGTGATACGGGTAAGGTTAGGGACAGGTATGGTGGTATGGGTAGGTTTAAGGGTGGGTTTAAGTATGAGAGATGGGTCAGCTGTGTAATAACAGAGGTAATTACATAAATTAGTTACAGCTATAATTACATGCTGGTATTTTTAAAATGTAAGTACAATTTAAAAACATGTATGTACACAACAAGTCCATTGTATCAAATTATTTGTTTCAATGTAAGTACATTAATATAAAGTGGGACCCAATTTCTTAGCAACTTGCACAAAACTAATGGACCTGAATATGGGCTATACAGGAATCTAGTGGCTACAAATATTATTGATGATAAATGATCTTGTTTTGGGAGTGGGATTTGGGGATTTCATAAATCCACTAAAAACACCTAATTCAAACACAATGTGACTAAAATAAATTAAAGCAAATATTAGTGAAAATATTTGAGGCTCATATGCACTGAAACAGTGGTGTAGAAACAATGTTCACTCAGAAATCGCTAGGAAATTTCACGAGGAACACATTGAACTGAAGTAGAATGACTGACATAGTATTGTCTTGTAAAATGAACTCCTTTTATTTGCTATTTAAAAAAAGTTTGGTTTTTTTACACTTGATCAAGTGAATCACATTCAGACATTTTTAATGTTGGTAAATAATGGATGTAAGGAGAAAGAGTAAAACCTGGTCGATCACACCATGAGTCGAACTGAGTGTTGTATTGTTGGGATTCATCTCAGAGCCTTTCTGGAGGATGTGAGTGAACGGGAAAAGACTTCTGTTGAACTCTATACAGCTGCTGTTGATGTGAATTCACTCACATACTGAACATCGTCCAGAAGAGAGACAGAGAGATGAGGAAAAACACACAGGAGAGAAAAACGGAGATATAACAGGCTCACAGCAGGTATGCAGTGCATTCTGGGATATCACCTCCCTTAAGAGTCATTTCCTGTTCTGAGATCGTATCTCACAGGAGAGAAATATACTGAGAAAATGAAAACAGTAAATGAAAACACTGTGATGATATGAAAAATGTTTTTATCATTTAAGTTTGAGTAAAATTGGCAGTAGCACTAAGAATGTACAAAAACATCATTTCCTCTTTACTCCAAGCAGGCCATCTAATTAACACACACACACTTTACAGTATTTGTAGGCCTTTACTGAAGACTTTGCCTGTATAAAGCTCTTGCTCACACTGACTGAGGTCGGATTCGGATAAAGAGAGCGTTTACATGATGAACACCTTTAATAGTTGTACAGGAAGAGTTTAGATTTATCTGAATGTATTATTTTTTGTTTCACTAATAGTAAATTAATTAAATGCACAGTGTATTTTTCACTTGTACAAGGAAACACATGACTGAATATATTGTGAAAAATACTGTGCTATTTATAAGTAAAATTAAAAGTTTTAAATGGTCTTATAGTTTGACTGCGTATATTTATTTCATTTGACATTTTTCATACATGTGCTGAGAATTAAAAAATATTGTAGCTTTAAAACTGAATTCTAGCCATAAAGATTATTTGGCACGCTGTTGAATGGGAACTTTCAGAAGACAAATGTCAAAATGGGAAAAAGACATAAATAAAGCACAAATATAAAGAAAATATTATGGAAAATGATATGTGTGAGTGTATATATATATATATATATATATATGAAAATAATTAATTTTAAATGAATAAATAATACAATAATAATAAACTTTATAAATAATATAATAAAATGGGGAAAAGACATATATAAAGCACAAATATAAAGAAAACATTATGGAAAATGATATGTATGTGTGAGTGTGTATGTATATATATATATATATATATATGAAAATAATTAATTTTAAATTAATAAATAATATAATAATAATAAACTATTTAAATAATACGTATAATAAAATGGGAAAACATATATATATAATAAGACATATATAAAGCACAAATATAAAGAAAACATTATGGAAAATGACATGTATGTGTGAGTGTGTATATATATATATATATATATATATATAGGAAAAATATATATATAGGAAAATAATTAATTTTAAATGAATAAATAATACAATAATAATAAACTTTATAAATAATAAAACTAATTTTATTGTAAAATATTTATAGAGCATTAAAGTATTTCTTGAACTGCTTTTAATTGATTCTGACTTACTGAAAAGTTAAATGAATGAAAATGTGCTTAAATAATATCATAGGAAACAATGGTCCTAAAAACAGTAATGCCCCCTTTTTGCATATGCATATATATTATATAACACCTGTACAAAGTTAAATGAAAAGGACACTATTTATTATTACTAAAATGGGCTCTGCTTGGAAATGACCTTTTTAATATAGTAACTTTTCAACTGAATTCTCTCTGTGAATATTATCGGCACACGCTGAAAATAGAAGATGAATGGCAGCAAAATTGAAACATGAAATTTCCCCTGTTGCTCATCATCACATTCAGAGCTCGAAGCTGTAAATGATGAATCAGAATCTGAGTCGAAACTTGATTACACAAGCACTAAACACAAATATAGTTTTCCTCTGGAGGATACGACATGATATTGTGAATATTACACAAATGAAACGTGAATATTACACAAACGGCAATATGACACAAATGAGCTTCAGGGATCTGTGGTTATTATACATGATCCGGGAAGTAAGGGATGAGGTCGTGCTCGTCTCCACGGTAACATCCACATTCCATTAGTGTCACCGCCCCAACATATAACGGGTCATTCTATAATATTTGCTATACGTGAAGAGGGTGTTCAAGAAGCCGTGGCTTGACACCTGCGACTGGTGTTTCATCACTGTCAGAAGATAATGACACGGCTGGCTTTAGAAATGACAGAATAACAAGCGAAGAGTCTCTAGGCGACGGTAACCATGGCATCTACAGGAAATCAAGCCATTGTGTTGTTTGTCTGACATGATGTGGCACTTCAATGTGAGCGGGCAGTGTGTCTGACTGTGATTCAGATCATCATGTGACTGTCTGCTGCTTATTCATGAGCTGTTTCATGGCTTTCCCTCCGATTGATCCGTGACTAATGAATTGGAAAAATACCTGTATTCATATTAATCATGTACCTTTTATTTGTATATATATATACTCACCCAAAGGATTATTAGGAACAGCACACTAATACTGTGTTTGACCCCCTTTCACCCCAGAACTGCCTTAACCTCTTAACTGTCACCCCCCCCCCCTTTTTTTGAATAGACATGAAAATGCACATTTCGAACTTAAATGGTTGTAATTCAAGAATGCTTTGGAATATAGACATATGATTGGTCTTGTTTTAAAGAAGACATTTGGCAGATTTTTGTAGAAGTGAAATAAATTAAGAAAGTGAAACAGAAAAAAAGTTATAGAAGTTTGAGTTTATGGAAATGTACAATGTAAAAATATTAATTATTCATATTTTACATAAAATATATATTTTCAAAACCTGGGCTACTCTAAAGTGGCAGAAAGATCAAAGCCAAAAATCTGAACAAGTTGTGTTTCAAATTTTAGGTTGATATCTCAAAAAATGAGCTTTCAGTGAGATTTTGTTTGAGCGCAGTACCAAACTTTACCAAACTCCATTACTGCCCATATAAGGGCGTCTGCATTTCCATTCGTGTTTTGAGTGATATGAACCATTATTTTCACAATTTTCATACAATTTCTGAAGTAGAGATCCTATTCAGAAGTAGCATGGGAAGTTTGGCAGATTTTGAAATGAATTCAACCTCTAAGAAACACATACAAAGAACACGCATGTAAGTCATAGCTAGCTGCCACGTCACAAATGGTGAATTTATTATTTTTTTTCTTGATATTTCAAACTTTTCAGACCTTTTTTTCCAAAATAATTGAATGGATTCTATCTTTTGAACTTTTGGCATGAAAACAAACTGAGGTATCTACCATTTTTTCATGATTTTTCATGTTTACTGCTATTTTAAAATAAAGGTCTGAACACGCCTTATGAGTATGAAAATATTCATATTGATAAAAATCAGTCACCAAATATGGAAACTAGAGATTGTAAGCTTTCAAATGATATATAGTTTGTCAATATTATTTAAGGTATTTACTAAGATATTATTGTTTTAAAAATATAGTGGCAAACGTCCCACCTGTGGGACAGTGACAGTTAACGTGGCATTGATTCAACAAGGAGCTGAAAGCGTTCATTAGAAATGTCGGCCCATATTGATAGGATCGCATCTTGCGGTTGATGGAGATTTGTGGGATGCACATCCAGGGCCACCACATCCCAAAGATGCTCTATTGGGTTGAGATCTGGTGACTGTGGCGGCCATTTTAGTACAGTCAACTCATTGTCATGTTCAAGAAACCAATTTGAAATGATTCAAGCTTTAAAATGTTGGATTGTTTAATCAATTACAGATGTGATCTATTGATAATTTAATGAATAGTGAAAAAGTTCAAACCTAAAATCAATTTTTGTCTTATGAAAAAGTTAAAAAAATCTCCTGTTGACTCAAACTGATGTCACGTTCAATGATGTCATTATGGCATTTGCTCCCTGACGATGTGAAAATGGATCATTTTATCTGTAACTTTAACACTGATCTTAAAGCGCTGGTTCTTCCCTCAGGGAAACATGTGATATCACCGTCCTCTGCGGTCGTCGCTGCGTTCGCACACCATGTGTGCTGTGAACCCTCAATGACAGTCACTAGATCTAGACAGAACATCTGCTGATACGGGACACACACGCTCTCTGAAAGAGTCTCTTGATTTTAAAATGATTCAACAATGCTTCGTTCCACTCAATTTAACATTCGGATATTGCCTGGCAACTGTCCATTGACTGCCAAAGGGCTTGTGAAAGCATTTCCAAAGATATACTCATAAAAGATATACGAGTCTCTGGAGTGTATGAGGGTATCTTTTTATTTATACATCAAGTTTTTTTTTTTTTTTTTTCATTCAAGAAAGGAGTTACTCTGACTAATACTACTGCACACTGTTAGTATACTCCACTGGTGATGGGATGGTACATTAAAATAGCATCATTTTTGGTAACACTTTACAGTTAATAAATTAACTTTGCTATAATTAACTCAGCAAAGGAGGTTATAGCGGTGCTGTTTTTTAAGTAATTAAACTCACAGCCCAAACAAATTTAGGTTCTGGGACGTTCCGGGAACGTTAGTTTTTGGTTCCCAGAACGTTCCTAGAACTTTCCTGTAAAAATGAATATGCTGAACTGCACTGTAAAAATGAATATGCTTTATCTAATCAATAAAATTTTGGCAACAGATTACAAGCAATATTATTTATTAAATTAAAAAAAAAATAGAATTGAGTAATAGTTAATCAAATTAACATTCTAATTAATTCTAATTTGTACAATTTAATTAATAATATTGCTTGTAATACTGTATGTTGCCACAATTTTATTGATTAGATAAAGCATATTATTTTTTTCAGTGTGTAATCTTACCATTCTACTTGATCTCTATCTGATTTATCTGATTTGAATGCTAAATTTAACAAGAAAGTAAGCGCCATTTAACCCTTCCAGTCAAATTCCACGCTGCAAACATCAATGACATCTTTAAATGATCAATGGTAGCAAAATAACCATGTCGTGCATTAAAATCATTTAATGCACAGCATGGATTATAGGGTAATCTTTTTGTTATTTTGGTCGAAACTCACTTCACATTAGCGAACAATAATAGAGGTGGGCTAAATATTTAGACGTTTTAGCTGTTCACGTCTTCATTTCTCTGTCAACATAATCAACGCCGAGATGAATCTGCAGCAGTCAGGTGACACGTAAGAGCTCTGCAAGTTGTGTACGTCCACTATTATTGTAATGTTGTGTGCTTTTAGACAGATTAACGCAGATTTTGCTAATTTTCAAAGCTAATTTGCTATTGCTAGCCTCTCCGAAATTGCCTTTAATGCTCACTTTTCAGCCAATTAGAATCGAGTATTCAGACAGACCATTGTATAACTAAGACTGAAGAAGTATTTTTCACTATAAGTTCTTATTAGTTATTAGTTATGCTCATGCATTTAAATACGGCTGTGCATTTGTTGCTATTTTTAAACGATTGAAAAAGACAAAATCCTCGTGTATTGTGCAAAGGATATAGCAGATCAAATGCTGAAAGATTTGGGGAACGTTGTATCAGTTATTTTATCTGTATTGTGTTGTTTTCTCATGGTTAAATGCACTGAAGCGAGACACGGCACATCTGTCTAGCCCGAAAAGCCCATAAAAAGCCGTGAGCGGACGGGACGATGGGGTCAAACGTCTCATAAAAGGCCAGTATATATTGAGCTTGTCTGCTGTGTGAGGTGTTGTTCCTCACTTCCATATCGCTGTTGCCTCATAAACACACCTTCTGTTCTTCATCACTTTCATTCACATGAGGACAGTGTATCTGTCTTTCAGAAGTCTTTGGGAAGTGCTGAAAGAAACTAATTTAAAAGCTGTCATCGTTTACTCACGCTCAGTCAGTTTTGATTTCTTGTTGGCTTTGAATCCTTCAATTTATCAAGAGCTTAACATCATTCGCTATTTTTTTGTGTACTTCTCAGGTGAGCTTATTTTTTGTTATTAATTGCCTTCTGCGAATCACTCCTGTGTCAGATGTAAAAAATCAAATTTGCAGCTTTTTTATCTCCATGGAGACTCGTCTGGGCGCTTGCTGAATTTCAGCATGAAATATGCCTTTAATTTCCATTCAGCGTTCCCTATGATTCATCCTCCCGTGGTCTATCAGAATCATGTTGGTTTGTCTGAGCCGCTGGTGGGCAGATGTGGCTCGACCCAGCGGGATCGTGGAGGAGGAGGAGGAAACCCTTTTGTCTTTACCAGAAGCTTTGGTCACACACATCCTCTTATAACCTACAGCAAAAGACACAGAGCTTCTTCATTTAGGTTAATTATTATATTTAATACATTCGCCAACAGGTGAACAGATTGCTAGATGTCTGCATTTACATATGAGAATCAAAATGATTCATTCACTTAAAGTCGGTCATTCACTTAAAGTCGTGTTTGTAACGTATATCCGTGGGAAACGCTTCTGGAACAATAACAAATGTAGGGCGGGGCTTGATTTTGTCTGTGGGGAATTGATTGGATGGTTGGGGTTTGCTATTGGTGGATCTCATGTGAGTGACAGATTGCCCCGCCCTCACGCCAGTATATTTGTAATATTACAAAACAAAAAGGGGGTGGAGATGGATTAGGGGTGGTGTTAGGGATCAGGGGGCGGAGATGGGTAGGATTAGGGGTGGGGTTAGGGATCAAGGGGCGGAGATGGTTAGGATTAGGGTGGGGTTAGGGATCAGGGGGCGGAGATGGGTTGGATTAGGGGTGGGGTTAGGGATCAGGGGACGGAGATGGTTAGGATTAGGGTGGGGTTAGGGATGAGGGGGCGGAGATGGATAGGATTAGTGATAAGGGGCGGAGATGGGTAGGATTAGGGTGGGGTTAGGTATCAGAGGGTGGAGATGGGTAGGATTAGGGGTGGGGTTAGGCATCAAGGGGTGGAGATGGGTAGGATTAGAGGTGGGGTTAGGGATCAGGGGGCGGAGATGGATAGGATTAGTGATCAGGGGCGGAGATGGGTCGGATTAGGGGTGGGGTTAGGGATCAGGGGTTGGAGATGGGTAGGGTTAGGGTGGGGTTAGGGATGAGGGGGCGGAGATGGATATGATTAGTGATCAGGGGCGGAGATGGGTAGGGTTAGGGTGGGGTTAGGGATCAGGGGGCGGAGATGGGTAGGATTAGGGGTGGGGTTAGGGAACAGGAGGCGGAGATGGGTAGGATTAGGGGTGGGGTTAGGGAACAGGAGGCGGAGATGGGTACGGTTAGGGTGGGGTTAGGGATCAGGGGGTGGAGATGGGTAGGGTTAGGGTGGGGTTAGGGATCAGGAGGCGGAGATGGGTAGGATTAGGGGTGGGGTTAGGGATCGGGGGCGGAGATGGATTGTATCTTTTAAAGAAACTCTCCACAACAAAATGCTTCAGATGTTTTATTGTTCTTTTATTGAAAGTGTGTTGGCATTCTGCATCATTCACTCTAAAAATGCTTGGTCGTTTTAACCCAACTTTGGGTCAAATATGGACAAAACCAAACGTTTGGTTAAAAATATAATAGAAAAAATGTAACCCAATGGCTGAGTTTGTCCATATTTGACCCAACAGCATGTTTGTTTGGTAATGCTACTGATGCACAGAAAAAGTCTGTATATAAGAAGAACAGTAACAACATCCAGTAAACTATTGGGGAACCAAATGTATTTATAGGGAAAGAATAATGAACCATTGTTGGAGACAGGAGACCCCCTTGCCTCTTCATTCGAAGTGCTGCCATCTGGACGGCGATACTGCCTCCCTCTATTTACCAAAAATAGATCTAAATCTTCAATTGTGCCTCAAGCAAATATATTTTTCAACATGTCTAATTTAATCGGTAGTAAGGTGTGGGGTATGGGGAATTGTGTGTGAGGTGTATTAGAGTGTGTTTACCAGGATTTTTGAAGGTTTTTTGTGTGGTGTATGATGTAATGCCTACTTGATCTTCCTACGGGGACAAATAAAGAGATTGAGATTCAGATTGAGCTTTTTCTGTTCTTTTTGGAGCTTCACAGATGTGAAAATTCCTCCTTTGTGTTTCACAGACAAATAACAGCAGATTGGAAGAGCATGAGAGTGAGTAGACAATGACAGAAATGTGATTTTCAGTCAGCTTTTTTGTAGCATTTATATTGAAATATAACGTACAATATCTAATGTGTGATATATTATTTATTTGCAATCATCATTCTTTTTCTAATATATCAGAAATGAGCTAATGGAAAACATTGGTGCCTGCAGATATCACGCCATGGTCTCGGTCAGGTGTGAGAGACGGCCAGACATTAATCATGTGAAGGGCTTCAGGCGTTCACCTTCTGTAGATCATCTCACCTCAGGAACCAGCAGATTCCCTCGCTCCTCATTCAGCTCTTCAAGTACATCATTCCCTTTATATTACTTTTAACCCTCACTTTTGACCCTTAATTATGTTTTTTTTTTCTTTTTCATCATCAGAATGGTATGAAACTCTGTGACATTTGTGGCACTGGCTATGTTAGCACACTTTAACAAAAATATTGTTGGTTTAACTTAAATTAAGCAACCTGTTTGCCTTAAAATTTGAAGTTCACTGAAATTGAGTTAAAAATTGGGTTGAGTTAAAACTGCAAACTGTTCAAAGGGCTTTAAACGACACCAGACGATGAATAAGGGTCTTATCAAGCAAAACAATCGCTCATTTAAAAAAGAAAAATAACAAAGTTTAAGTTTTATAAGCACAAATGCTCGCCTTGCTCTGTTCTGTGATGCGCGTTCGTTCGTGACTCTCCTCTTTGATTTGAACTCGTTTATCAAAATGAACGAATCTTTTTTCGTGTCATTTGGTTCATTCAACGAACGAAATGAACGAGTTGACTCAGGAAAAGATTTGTTCATTTTGATGAACGAGTTTGAATAGGAGAGTCACGAACGTGCATCACACCCTAACCCTAACAAAGCAAGGCCATTTGAGCTTATAAAATGTAAAATTTGATAATAATTTATTTTTTAAATTAGCTTGATAAGACCCTTATTCATCGTGTGGAATCGTTTAAAGCCCTTTGAACAGTTTGCAGTTTGCACTGAAACTCTCATTTGGACTTTGAACCGTTTGGACCCCATTGAAGTCCATTATATGGAGAAAATCCTGGAATGTTTTCATCAAAAACCTTAATTTCTTTTCTACTGAAGAAAGAAAGACGTGGACATCTTGGATGACATGGGGGTGAGTAAATTATCAGCAATTTTTTTTTTAAAGTGAACCACTCCTTTAATACAATGAAGGAGATTGATTTAATCATCAGAAACTCAAAATATTATGTTATCTGAACCACATAAACTATTTCAGTCGATTTGACAAAAGAAAAAAATGTTTTGATTACAAATCATGAACAAATTTAAAGTAAAAGTGTAAATATCTTTACACTTTTACTCTTTTCAATGAGTGAATGGTACATGTAAAAAAAAAAACAGAATTTCTTTTAGTTTACAATCCACAAATCAGCGTGAAATGAATCCACACTGAACTGAACAATGACACTAATGTCTTTTAAGAGCTGCCATACAGCTGAAGTTTTTTTTTTTTTTGATTTGAGATCTTTATTTTGAACATGTAAATAATAAATAAAAATACAGATATTAATCAATGAAACAAGGAATATCAATTAAAAGAAACAAAACAAAAACAAACAAAAAACAACCCTCTATTTACATGTGCAAAAAGGAGTAGGAAGAAGTAAAACTTATGTACTCCTACCCCCCTATTTAAACAAATACCTAAAAAAATAAAATAAATAAAAATCCAAATAAGTAATCAATCTATAATCCATGAAAGTATTGATTCAGAAGTTATAAACACATAAGGATGTTTCCCGATACATGACAATATTTATACTACGGGTTAATTCAATATAAGCTCAAGTTAACACTATGTTTTTCTGTAACTCTGGAATATAATTTCTTTGAACATCTTTTTAAAATGAATTAAAAGATTCATTTTGAAGATTCAAGTTGAATTTGTGATGAAGTTTGCATAATTGATTCGGTAATCACTGTGAAGCTGCTTCAAAATATGTTTAGCATAAAGTGCAACAGAAATAAATGTAACTTGACTCAACATGTTATGAATTCTTGCGTTCAAGTCAGAAACAAAATCTTTCTCATATTCAAATCAGTCAGATACTGAATGAATCACTCGAACTGAATTGTTTCGACACATTTGAGTTGAATTAATGAATATGATGTGTTGATTTTATTTTATTTTATTGATTAGACTGGGGTGGGGTTTAATAAGTTTTACTTCTTCCCACTCCATTTCAAGCATAAGTGTTAAAAGTTATTATTATTGTCTATCTTTTCTGTTGTCACACTATCTTGCTTGAAATGAATAAATAAATAAATAAATTTTGGACAAATCGCCGCATGATAGTGAATCATCCATACGGGTGCAAGGACATGATGTTGGATCATAACATATTTTGTGTTTGTGTCGCACGCAGGAGTTGTTTTGGGACACGCTGCTGAATGTTAAACATCTGAAATCCTGTCTCACATTCAAACGTCCATTTAATGATGTAAAACGGGAAATAAACACAGACACGGCTCCAGGAGAGGGACCCGAAGGCTCGTGGTGTGTGACATCTGGTCTGGCGTTAGTCCAGGTGTCTTCAGGGAGTGACTGAGGAAGAGGAGGAGAGGAAGAGGAGTCTGACAATGCCCCCCTCGAGGAGCGTCACATGAATGCCGAGGCATGACTGACACTGGCACGGGTTTGTGGTGCATCTATGTGCCCGACTCGGTTTAATTTATTTATTTATGCATGAAAAACAGCACTGCAGGCTCATGACATTGCTCAGAGCTGTCTCTTTTAGAGCTCAAGAGACTTATAATGACGTATCAGCTCAGTCTCAGACGTTGCAAAATAAATCAAATGCGGTCTCAAATGGAGTAGCTCTTAAAAATAAAGGTTCCTCTATGGGTCCATCAGCCAAAACATTTCCAGTGGCCAAAAACCTCATTTTCATCTAATTAACCCTTGTGCATCCTTATGGACATTTTTGTCCTTTTCACTTTTTTTTTGGATCACTTTGCCTGTGTTAAAGCTAACTGCAAAAAACTTGGCACAGGTGTGTATTTTTATTGGAATTTTACTATTTCACCGTCATTTTCTTAAAAAAATATTTTTTGCATTAGGTACAAAAAAATACTCCCTCTCAGCGCCTTTTGGACAAAAATGTCCCCATTGAAACCCATTAAAACTGCCATTTTTAATCCCCTGTTCAGTTAACTATAAAATTATGCAATCTTTGTTAAGAGGCTTTCATTCTGATGGCAAGGCTTCAAAATTTTATTTTTTACTATTTTTTATCAGATGTTTTCTGCTTCGGCATACTACAGAGCCAACTGGATAAATTATGCAACAATATTTGTGTGGGTGTGTTGGTATGGATGTCAGAGTGTGGTTAGTATGTGTGTTATAAAAAAATATGTGTGTGTGTGCGCATGTGTGTGTTTGTAATACTGAGAGAGAAAAACTGCAAATTCCAATCCAATCACTGTGAGCTCCAGTGGGGTTTTGCTGCCACCCAATGGGGAAAATATGTTACTACGCCCAAACAAACTGTTACCGAAAGCTCATTTTTTGAGATATCATCCTCAAATTTGGAACACAACCTATTTAGATTTATGGCTTTGATTTTATTGCAGTTTTGAGTTCAACCTGATTTAAAAATATATATATATATATTATATAAAATATTTTTTATAAATAATTTTCATAAACTTATACCTATATAACTTTTTTTTGGATTTACTTATTATTTATTTTTTACTTCAGCAATAATCTACAAAGGGTCTTCTTTAAAATGATACCAAACTTAAGTCTGTGCTCCAAAGCGTCACGTTTTTATGACAGTTTTTTGACATGGACATTTTTGTCCTCTTTTTACCTATGTGTAACTTTTTTAAATTGATGCACAAGGGTTAAATATTGGATCTACCCTGATTAAGGTGCATTGATTTGTGTTTTTCACACAGGACACATGGATGTGTGACAAACCCTCTCAAACATCAGTGTATTTTCACATTTGATTTTGTTTAATATCGACTGGCGCCAGAACCTAACGAGAAATATCATGCTGAATAATTCCCTTTCCTGTGTGTGTGTGTGTGTGTGTGTGTGTGTGTGTGTGGGCATTTGAACAGAAGGAGGTTATTGATTATATTCCAGTCCTCCAGGCCTAGAGCACAAATGCACTGGCGTATTGCAAGAAGAATGACACCACTTATTCCCAAAACATTTCTCTTTTTCTCCCCTCCTCACACAATTTTTCTGTCCCTGGAGAGACGACATCACTCATTACTGTCAGCAGCAAAGTCCCACCGGCACCGCCATAATCATCACCATCACCATCTCACTTCTTCCCATCGAGTCCGTCGCCCCGCGGCACCCTGGGATGGATACCGGACGACTGATGAGCGCTTGAGACCTACAGGTGATCAGAATCCGTTAACACTCACGACAATCCTTAGACTCTGTCGTAGCTGGATTTTTGACTATTAGCGTAATATATCGGGTCCACTGTGCAACATATTCTACTTTTTTTAATGTAGTTCTTTGAGTATACAAAAAGCAAATTTGATATATATATATATTATTATTACCAACCGCTCGATTAGGTGTGAAAACACTCAAGATCAAATTAATGCATCTTTGCATTCTGAAACATGTCAATACTATTCAAAGTGCAAAGCAAGTAATCGTGTGATTCTCAGTTTCGCCACTATATCTCGCGTTAGTGTTTATAGGAGTAGTTCACTTTAAAAAAAAACTTTTGCTGATAATTGTCATCCAAGATACCCATGTCTTTCTTTCTTCAGTCGAAAAGAAATTGAACATTTCAGGATTTTCTCCATATAATGGACTTCAATGGGGTCCAAACGGTTCAAGGTCCAAATGAGAGTTTCAGTGCAGCTTCAAAGGGCTTTAAACGACACCAGACGATGAATAAGGGTCTTATCTAGCAAAATGAGCAGTCATTTAAAAAATAAATAAAAAAGTTTAAGTTTTATAAGCAGAAATGCTCGCCTTGCTCTGTTCTGTGATGCGCGTTCGTGACTCTCCTGTTCGAACTCGTTCATCAAAATGAACAAATCTTTTTACGAGTCATTTCGTTCGTTTCGTTCATTTCGTTCGTTGAATGAACCAAATGACTTGAAAAAAAGATTTGTTAATTTTTATAAACTATGCTTTTTCCCCATAGACTTTTGGAAAAACGCAAAAAATAAGATCTGTGTTCAACAATGACCCTTACATGTTTTCCCTATAAAGATAATCTTTACATGTTAATCCAAATTTTATACATTTTGAAGCCTATATAAAGTTTAAAAGCAGGTTATAACTGGTTTGTTTTATGTCATAGATCAAAACGTGAAAATGTTTAGAGACTTTAACCACAGACCTTTAGCAAAAACTCATAGACTTCAGAGTGAGGGAACCGGAAGTGTTAAAATGCTAACTCACCTCCGCGTTTTGGCCTACAAAGTGATGTCATAACTTCGGCAGTCTATTCAGAATCTTATTGGCATCCATTTTGGCTCGTCATCCACTCAAAACGTAACGTTAGCCTACTATTTGACCGGCTCGCAACAAATGTGTTTCCGGTCTAGCTAGATCCGGTGCTTTCAGACGGGACGCGGAAAGCTGGTTTTCAAAACAAAAAAGTTTCTATTGGCCACGCTAGTAATTATGACAGAGGCTAAAATTGAGCTATTTTGTGTGCTTCGGGCGACGAAGCAACAAAACGTCCTCGCGCGACGCAAGCCATTAAAATGAATAGCCACATGACGCGTCCTACAAAGATTTGCTGTTAATCTCGTGATAAAAAAATAATTGTGTTAAAATGGGTTAATAACGCGTTTAACTGACAGGTCAGATTGTGTAGTGTCTTCTAGCCTTGCGATTGTTTGCTGGTGTTTAACCTAAACCCTCTAAAACCATTCAAACAGACCAAGTGCTTGGCCAGGCTTGGAGACATACGACGTGTAAATAAACAGTGCTATCAGCGGGTGCAATTCACTCTTAATGGATTCCCATTAAATCCCCTTCAAAGATGTGATGCACCTCAAAAACTTTAACACATCCAGCAATACGTTTATCCTCTTATTGCAGGAATCTGCTGGCATGTAAACAACAGCCTCGCGCCGCGGCGGATTCTGAGAGCTGTGTGTGTCCGTAACAGTGATGGTCCGCCGTCGTGCCATCTGAGGCAACCCGGTCTCATCCCAAGACGTCATATAACTGACGTTTTGGGACGTCTTTTGACCATACGTCAATATTCGCCTTTTGACGGCCCGGGATCGCCATCTACCGATGTTTAAGGGGGTCCTAAAAAGACGGATATTGACGTATGGTCAAAAGACGTCAGTTATATGACTTTTTGGGATGAGACTGTGTTATCTGAGGTCAGACTGTATTCGCACTGACTCAAGAGTGAAAGCAGAACACACAAAATCCGTTCTGTCACACTGCCAGGACAAACAGACAAACGCCTCTGTCTGCTCTCACCTGTTCCCGGGTTATGGGACGCATACACACACACACACACACACACACACAAGCTGGAAGAAACAACTAACCCGAGAAGCAACTAACCACGCTAGCTCTATTTTTAACCCAAGGCATTAAATCTGGAGTGAGTCAGATCTGAGTAGGACGTGCTACAGTCCTGCAAATATCACAGATTCGCTCATTGATTTATAATTAAGCCTATATATTCCTGTGTGGATTCGGTCTTGGTACACAGTTTATGTGTAGGCTACTGTAAATGCCTGAATGTGCAGGGAAAAAGCTGTTATTTTCTCACTATCGCTCTCTCTCCAGTATGTTATTACGATTAAGCTGTGCTGAGAAATAATATTATAACCTCGTTGCAATAATCGCGCCAAACGCCATGGCCGTGTAATGACACATGAGACTGTGTTTATGGGTAATTTGCATTTATTTTTTTACGATTTTAACAGTTCTCTTACATTTTCTGTTGTCATAATTATCCTTTACATTGAATGTTCCCAGAACTTTGGCTAAAGTTCTTGTTAGGTTGATTTTCCCGAGCCCTTCACATAAAATTAATCGACAGGCTTTTTTCATAGACAACCTACAGTAGGATGTCAGGCAAGTTTCATTAGCTGTTCACGCATTGGCAATTAAAAAAAGCAAACAATGCATGAAAATTCAATAGCTGTGAATTATCAAAATGTATTTTCCTGAAAAATTTCAAGGCCAAATGTTTGTCAGAAGTGTTGTAAGTTCAAAAAAGTTTGAATTTACGATTTTGAGTTTTAGGAACTGCATGCATGCAACATTCTTGCAAGGTTCTTGCTTTAAAACTAACAAAATATCGGTTTGGTCTTTTCTATTCTCAAATATTCTCAAAATACAAGCACAAAACCTTCAGAGAACATTCAAAAGTAAAGTTTGCAAAAAAGTGGAGCATTCTGTTAAAGTTTTGCTTATGTTCATTAACATTCAGAAATAATATTTTAATAACTTAAAGGGTTAATTCACCCAAAAATGAAAATGATGTCATTAATGACTCTCCGTTCATCTTCAGAACACAGTTCAAGATATTTTAGATTTAGTCCGAGAGCTTTCTGTCCCTACACTCTTAGAAGAACCTTAAAAGGTTCTATCAGCGCTACATATTTGGAACCCCTAAAAGGTTCTATACACTCTTAAAAAAAGGGGTTCCTCTGGGTTCTATAGAACCCTGGAGTTCCATACTTGGCCAATAGAACCTTTTACCAAAAAAAATGGTTCTATATAGAACCATTTTGGAGTTCCATATATGAAGCGGGGGATGGAACCATTTCCGGTTCTAAATAGAACCATTTCTTTTACGAGTGTACGGTGTACTGTCCTTGTCCAGAAAGTTAATAAAGACATCATCAAAGTAGTCCATGTGGCATTAGTGGGTTAGTTACAATGTTTTGAAGCATCGAAAATACATTTTGGTCCAAAAATACCAAAAACTACGACTTTGTAACTTTGTAACTAACAACTCTTCCGAGCATTCTTTGCTCATGATGACAAACACTCGACACAACAGCCATTACACTTCACTGTATTCTCTCCCTGGCTGCACACACATCTCACATTTACTGATCTTTATGAGTTCAGATAGACTGTGGAGGACAATCAGCGATTTAAGAGACTGCAAATAATTGCACTTTTGCAATGTACACACTCAAGGGGGGAGAGGGGGGGTGTCTAATGTCCCAAGGGAAGAATTGAGCGCAAAATGCAACACTTTTAGTGTGTGGGTGCCTTTAGTTATGATTGCTCAAACAACATGTTTGCTGATCCTGGAACAACATTTTAATCAAGCAATCAGACAATAAACAATAGCACACGCAGCCAGACTGCACTGGCACACAATAATACCACACACTGCCGTGCGTGTGTGAGTGTGTGCATATTCTCTCTCTCCATCCGGGAAAAAGAAATGCATTGGGATTTTGTGTCCGGCACTTGTCGATAGACTCTCAACCCTTGCAATTGTCTCAACCCACTGGTTGTGCTAATGAAATCTGTCATCCTCGAATCCTCCTCTCACTCCAATCTATTCTTGCGTGTGTGTTTGTTTAGTCTGTCTGTGGGATTTTCTACTGTTTATATAATGTTGAACTGTGGTTATTTCCAGACATTCCCGTGCTCCTCTCTCCAATGTCAGAAGATAGCGCCGTGTCGCATGTAAACACACAAGAGCTGACATTCTTCTGGAAATCAAAGCGAGGCGTTCAGGACGACAGGCGTGAGGTGAGACCAATCTGAGGCAGACGTGAAGAAGACATCTAAACAGGCGATATGCAGAGAGTTGGAGGTGATGTTTGAAGCGACGACCTCATCTGATTTAAAGGGATAGTTCACTTTGAAATTAATTTTTGGTATGTTTTAGCTTACCCGAAGGGCATCCAAGATGTTGGTGTCTTGGTTTTGATTTTGATATTTTTAGGTCAAACCGTTCTTGTCTGTCAGTCATATAATGGAGGTCTATGGTCACCACCTCAAAGAGCATGCACAGAGAAGTCCAAATTAAACATGATTTAATGACTCGTATATGTAAGTACACATTGATGGCCTAAGACACGAAACGAGCGGTTTGTGTGAGAAAACGAACAGTATTTATATCGTTTTTCCCTCTTGATACCACAGCCACATCCAAGTGATCTGAGGGCGTGGGTGCGTTGTGGCTGTGTCAACAAGAGGTAAAAACAATATAAATACTGTTTGTTTTCTCACACAAAACACTCGTTTCGTGTCTTAGGCCATCAATGTGTACTTACATTTACGAGTCATTAAATCATGTTTAATTTGGACTTCTCTGTGCATGCTCTTTGAGGTGGTGACCATTTGGAGCTGTACCTTTTCAAAAGGTAAACTTTTGTCCATTTTAGGTAATATGTAAATTTTAGGTGCTAGTTTGTACATTTTAGG